ATGTTGTTCGTGTGGTAGTTAACAGGCAATTAGAATGAACAAAAAGATAAGATTATTTTGTACTTCTTATATGCTGTATTGGATTCATACAAGTAGGCCTATATTTTTTCGTGTGTAAGGTGATCAAGAGCCTACAAAATAAAATAAAAACATTGTTTAATTTCAGATTACAGTATTGTAAATGTATTATTGTAGATTCAAAATGTCTGTCCCAAACAATAACAAGGGTAAATTCGTTTTTTTTAAACTGATATCCCTTTCCAATGTTCTAAAAAAATATTATAGTACTCATCATCTGCTATTGTTTCACTGTAATTGTTAAATCATTCATTTTCATCTGTGATTTTGTGCGAGAAGTCATTGTGATAGCCCCTCACTGAGGTGTATGCAGGCCTTTATGAAAAACTACTGCAGTTGCTCAAAGTGGCACCCGATGAAAGGTTGACGACATATGTACTATGAATCACAAATGTTGCAAAACCGCCATTGAAAAAGAGGAAATGCACCAATATGCTCCTCTGTAGTTTTCACATTTTTCTCCTGAATTCCTTGCCCGCGTAAGTGTCGACATGAATCACCGCAGCACTCAACGGCAGCAACAAATTGGATGTATGAGGTGTCCGAGTTGTGCTCCAGTACATCTGTGTACATAAATAAGCCTGTGTGTGAGGGCAAAGAAGTAGCATCCGGGTCAATGATGAATTTTAAAAATCTACAATGACTAAAACACTGAAAAGAATCCTGAGGATGCCAGGGAACAATTTTTTATCAGAAGCACCAATATTAAAGCACAAGCAATAGTAATATTGTTTGCTGGTGACCAACAGTTGATGACGCCGTTCTGAAACCCAAAATGACGACTGAGGGAGGCTTTATGGCTCGTGACTTCTCTTTCTCTGCTTCCAAAGACGTTTCTGCCATTGTACAGCTAGGACACCTGAGTGCAACATCACATACTCTTTCAGTTCAAAGTGACATGAATTAAATATGCCAAATATTGGAAAAGATATTTCAATCATGAAACCTTGCTTAAAACAAACAACAGTTGTGAAGTCTACAAATGATCTCATGGTCTTATTTGGGGAAATCCCATCAGGGTTCAAGTCCCCGTTAAATACAAATAATAGATTTCATACATTTGATAGTCCACAGAGAATAGTGTTGTTGAAAGGCCTGACAAATTTGAATGAATTAAAAAAAATGCCAGTCTACTGTTCATCGGCTAATGGGCTAGCAGGCTTGCAAGCAGACTCACCCCCCCCCCCCACACACACACACACACACACACACACACACACACACACACACACACACACACACACACACACACACCAGTCGACACAGTATTCATTACAATTTTTTGGTGAAAAATTAAATGTCTGTGAGCACGCCCCCACATCCCACCAATTTTACTTAGTATCTAACGTAATCTTATTCTGTATATTTTTCATCTGTGTTAGCATGTCCATCCATCCATATTCTAATCCGCTCATCCTCATGAGGTTCGCAGGCGTGCTGGAGCCTGTCCCAGTTGTCTTCGGGCAGTAGGCGCGGGACACCCTGAACTGGTTGCCAGCCAATCACAGGTCACATATAGACAAACAACCATTCGCAGTCACAATTACATGTAGGGAAAATTTAGAGTGGTCCGTTAACCTGCCATGCATGTTTCTGGAATGTGGGAGGAAATACCCGGAGAAAACCTACACAGGCACCGGAAGAACATACAAACTCCACACAGGAAGGCCAGAGCTGGAATCAAACCCTGCGCCACTGCACTGTGAGGTGGACATGCTAATCAGCTTGTACAGTAACTCAACTTATTCAAATAATTTTTCACAATTGAGATGCCATTATTTCATCTCAGACCCATCCCAAAACACAACACCACCAATGATTAAATATAGTACATTGTATAAAAACATAATGAAACATACAATACTGTATTAAGTATTATTTATGTGTTAGAAATGTGCCTTTAAGAGGTGTGGACCAGTGAGTGGCAACAGGAACTGGTGTCCTGTTGGCCATTTATATTCTGTGTGTAAGTGTCTGGGTTTGAGTTGTGGCCGACAGCAGCTCCTTGCAATTGTTCTCTTGGATGTTTGTGTTTGAGTGTTTGCCATCTGAAAATTCTTCTTTGATAATGGCTCTCCTTGCACTTAAGCAAGGCCATTACAGTACCTTAACTGCCCCATTTTTATTTTTATTTTTTGCTTGTACCTCAAATTATTGCTCACAACACAAATCAATAATAAAACAAAAGAAATAAAATAAAACAAAATCAATTGACTGCTCGTAACTTGAAAAACTGATAAACTGGGGTACTCACAACTCTAGGTACCACCAAAATAATGCCGCTCTGTGTTAGGGTATGTCATCATGAAAACATCAAGGGGTCCACATTTTGACATGACGCCGCTGGGTGTTTTCTTTTTGGAAATTCTGCAGTGCGTGACTCCTGAAATCAAGACTTTCTACTGTGCTTATCATACATTGAGCGCTGAATTGAAGCAATTACAGTGAGGGTCCAAAAGTCCAGTCAAGTAATCAAGTCCTTATCTTACACATTGTCTTTCTTGGGTTATGGAACCAATCAGTAATTACTTTCAAAATAAACAAACTTCGACTATTAAACCTAGTTCCAGATAAAAGGGACAACAGTGAACTCTGAGCTTTCATTTACTGAACTGTGTCAGTTTGACCACACGCTGTAGCCCACGCGAAGGTGCATACACTTTCCTGCTGTCAAAAATTAGTATAAACAAATGAGGTTGGTTGTGTCATATGCCTCAACATGACGGAACATTGAGGGGCTGAGCCAAAATGGAAGAACGTGCTTGGGCACGTCAACGAATGCATGGACCACTTGGATATGATTCAGAGACCATCATCAAGCAGGTGTTTGTCTCAGGTGACGTGCCTGTTGCATAATTCTTTGACATACCTCCAAGATTTGTTTACAGCAACATCAGCCTTGTCAGGTACACAGGTGAACTAAGGTGCTTATTAAGTTTCTAAACTGATCGAACAATTGTTCCACGCAGAGCTAAATATAAGAGATGATAGTTTTTTACAGATCCCAGAAGTCACAATTACAATGTATAAAAGCTTTATAATTGTAGATATCAGCTCAGTGACAAGCCATGGTAGATTCTGTACACTTTGACCTGTAAAATATTTGTAGACTTATCCATCTTTCTAAGCAGATAGTGTAATGCAGTTTCCAAGAGAAACTGAGCCATACCTGTCAACTCATACGGTTTAGCCATAGTTCATACGGATTTTGTGGTGAATCTTACGTATATGGCCATATCGCACAAATCATACGGATTCTGAAAATTTCCGGGTTTTTTTGTTTCGTTTTTTTCCCCCTAACAGGTAGTTCCATTTGTTTTTGCCCAGAATGGTGCTCGTCTACGCGAATGCTTTCATTTCCGGTAACTTTCCAGTAAATCACGTGGTTCCTAGTTCAAAACAGCAGAGTATTCATTGCATACTTCGGTAGTGTACAAGCAAGTTCTACAAGGAAACAAATATATCATTCATATTTTGTAGGGTTTTTTCTGCCGTTATTTTAACATATAAAATGATTTGGTATGTTATAAGGATTTTTTGTTCTTTATAAGGATTTTTTTGGTAGTTTATACAGGTTGGCGCTCCGAAAAGTTGACAGGTATGCCGAGCAGAAAATTAATCAACAATTTGAAATATGTTTTAGTAAACATGTGACTGGCAAACAATTGAAGGAGAATGAAACATGCTTGTTTTTTAATTGTTAAGTGGGTGGTGGGTGGAACCTCTGCCTTCCCGAGAGGAGATTGCATGTTCTCACAATGCTTTGGTGGGTCTTTGCTGTAATGTCTTATTTTGTGGATGCGATCAATGATGTCATCGATCGATTGGCAAATTATGACTTTACAACCAGATACCGATTTTGCATAAAATGCAAAATATCTGACGATCTGATCAAGTTGATCAGATCTGGGCAAAGTTGTATGTACAGTATTGCTATCATAACGGAGGAATAACTACACATAAAATGCCTCATCAGACACTGTGGAAGCACTTTCATACAAAAGAACGAAGAATCCAACGAACACTGTCATGTAACAGACATACAGTAATACAGACATGCAAGTACTGTATGCTGTATTACTTGCAACACATTACAACTGCTGTATTTGAGAGCACATATCCTAAAACAATGATAACAATCCTTCTATTATTCTCTACCTAGTTTTTCTACCACTAAATACCCGATGAAAAACTTAAAAAGTAATGACAAAAAAATGCTGCCACACAACTGGGTGAAACATATAGAAATGTGATTGATGGAGTTCAAGCAAAAATGACCGTCTTGGTTCACAATTTGTAAACAGGTTACTGCGTGACAGTGTCAAAACATTGTCTATTGTCACTATACGGGCACACTGCCACATGCATTTCTGAAGTAGTCACGCCCACGGTTTACACACCCTCTCTGCTCACTTCACATTTTGTGCCTGCCTGGGGCTTGCCTGAAGGAGGGCAGCCTCCCACGTCCCGTACAGCTGGAAGCGCGCCAGAAGGGGATTGGCTTCCCGCTTGTGTCAGGGAGGAACCGGCGCGCCAGGATATCCAAATATGGACAAACCGATATGTTTGGATCCATGACTCAGCATCCGCGTATTGATTGGCAATAAGGCCAAGTCTGCGAGGGGACTTTTCTGTGTGCTCTTGTCTACTGGGCTGAATTGGACCCCCGAAGCTCGTTGACAGAAGCTGTGATCGTAAATGCGCTGTTGTGGCGTTTCTAATTTTCCTTTTCGACTTTCCTCTGGGCGAAAGGGCCTCGGCGTGTTTACAGTGGTGGTTACTGGCAACGTGCGTCATTACGCACGGCTGACATCCTGAGGGCGGGGCCAAGAGGAGACCGCGACCAATCAGAGCCTGGGATCGGATGTCGCTCCGGACTGCTTGCGCTCTGGTGTCCGGATCGCATAAATAGAGTGAAACTGGTCGGCTGCTTGTCATAAAAGAGAGGAAACTAAAGAGACGATCAGACAGGTTTTCAAAATTACAGACTCACCAACACACGAGTGGGATGAAAACAACTGAATTAGTCACTGGACTGCGCTTTGATTCCAACTAAAGGTACAAATCGACGACTTGATATAGTAGAGTTCCTCTATTTGGGAGGTTTTGCTGTTTTTTTACAATAGTGCTCTTCAAAATAATAATACATCAGGACTTGCTGGAGATTGAGTTGGGACACCTTCACGAACTCACGTAGCCTATTTGCCTGTCTGATTTTAAAGCGAATATGTCCTCAATAATGGAACAGCCTTTTTATGACGACTCGTTTCTCTCTGCTTATGGCCATCCAGGCGCAGCCCTGTCAGACTACAAGTTACTAAAGCAGAACATGAACTTGAACTTGTCTGATCCTTATCGGAGTTCCAACTTCAAGTCTCACCACCTGCGCGCCGACTCCGAGTTGTATTCGGCGGCCACGGCGGACCCGGGCTCCCTCAAACTCGCCTCTCCGGATTTGGAGCGACTCATCATCCAGAACAGCAACGGGCTCATCACTACCACGCCGACGCCGAGCCAGTACCTGTACAACCGCGGGATCACAGAGGAGCAGGAGGGCTTTGCCGAAGGTTTCGTGAAAGCTCTGGACGACTTGCACAAGATGAACCAGATGGCACCGCCCAACGTGTCCATCGGAACCGGGGGTGTAGCCTGTTCGGCGCCCGGTTCGGTGTACGGGTCACCCATGCAGCCCGAGCCGCTCGAGTACACGAACCTGGGCAGTTGCTCCACGAACCCCGGCTTGTCGTCGGCTGTCAGTTACCCGTCCGCCACCATCAGCTACCTGCCGCACCACCCCTACCACCACCCGCACCCCCAGTCGCATCACCCCCATGGAGGTGCGCACGCGCCCCACTCCTTCCAACACTCGTTGGCCGGCGCTGGGCTCCACGCACCGCGCTTCAGCGGCCTCAAGGAGGAGCCCCAGACCGTCCCGGACATGCCGAGCAGCGACAACAGCTCGCCGCCCATGTCCCCCATAGACCTGGAGAATCAGGAGCGAATCAAGGCGGAGCGCAAGCGGCTCAGGAACCGGCTGGCCGCGTCCAAGTGTCGGCGGCGTAAGCTGGAGCGCATTGCCCGTTTGGAGGACAGAGTGAAGGTTCTGAAAACGGACAACGCGGGGCTGTCCAACACGGCCTCCCTCCTACGGGAGCAGGTGGCCCAACTCAAACAGAAAGTTATGACACATGTGAGCAGCGGCTGTCAGCTCATGTTGTCTCCCAAAGTCAAATCCTACTGAGGAAACCGAACTTAGCACTTTGAAAACACTGGACTGGAACTGCACTGACAGCACGGGTTACTGGATTGTTGTGGCTGAAACTAAAGTACATGGGAATCAGTGAAAACGAACACACTTTGGGCATTTTGGAGCACAACTTGTCCTGTTTACATTGTACATTGTGATGAATTCTCTTGTAACTTATTTCTGCTGTCAGGTTGAACCTGACCATTATTTTTTGTACCTGTACAGTATATTTAAGTAAAAGAAATGATACACTTGAGAAACGTGTTGTTTTCTTCGTGGTGTTCTCGGCATTTTGAAATGTGACCTCTTTGGAATTGTTGAGGCATTTCTCGAGAACACTGACAGGCTGTTGTCAGAATCATCTGCTCTGTCAGCACTTGAGTTTCCTGACCTTCAACGCCCCAGATAGGACTGTTTTCCTATTTACGAACTAACACTCCTTGTATGGGGAAATGTTCTCACAAACGTCAGAACACATAGGTTTCCGGGAACTCCCTCCTACAAAGCTGGTCAGAGAGGCCACAGCACCACAAGTATGTCGGTGTGTGAGTGTGAAATGGTTTGTCAATGAGCTATGTGGGAGTTCCCCAGTTCTGCTTTTAGGTTCCCCAAACAAGCTGCGAAAACAGGAGAGCCGTTTAAGCCAAAGGTTGAGACAAACAGCACTCTTGGTTGTTGTTGAATTCACGAGATGTGGTGCAGATTTTATAACTAGGCCACAGTAAGAGGAAAAATATCTTCAAGAGGCTGTATTAAATGTTGATCTTATATGATCTGGTGGAAAACATAACACGTAGTTGCATGGCAAGTCAAAATTTGATCCAATTGAAGCTCAGACATTCAACTTCATCCTGTAAAAGGATGAAAACGGATAGCATGAACCTTGTGGAGTGGTTCACCGTATCTGAGAGGTTCATTTCTTCACTCAAGGCATTACTCCTTCGACTTGTTGACAATTATTGTGACTGTCGTATGATTTTGATTGAAAATTCGTTTTAAGTGACAATCAAATGGTTTACTATTGCTGTCATTTCGTATGCAGCATGTCTAAACTTGATCTGTAACCACAGTAAACTGGTTGTTCAGGTGGGATATGTCAGCGATTCCCAACAGTGCGCATTCAGATAATCAGTGTTACACAGGAAAATGTTATTCAATTTAAATTTATTGAGGCTACTAAAAATTAATACTGCTCATCTCTCTATGCCAGCCCAATGATTAATAACTTCTCCCCCGAAACATCAGGTATACCGTAACGCGTATCCACCCGTTGCCCTTAAAATAACAGACTAGCTTTGTGAATTTTGTGAAAATTCTTTATTTCAGTCGATATTATTTTTGAGACGTTTGGTCAGTTTCCGTAAGAGTTTTCCTCATGTAAAATATGTCTCTCGACTTTAACGTTGGGAAACAGAGGGAATACTTGTCACAAACTAGTAGCACCCCCTAGACGGGACATGTGGTATGACACTCAGAACCATTTATAAAAAAAAAAAAAAAAAGAACCTGCTTCACATTCCTACTGCTTTAATCAACGGCGACATTAACAGGAAACAGCCAGAAAAAATGATAAGTATTTTTTTTTTGCAAAAACAAGGAAATTAACATTTCAGTGCTTGAGACTTGGAGATCGCCCCATCAGTTTTATACTGGACGTACAAAGTGTCGAACTGGGAATAGGTTGGGCTTTGGACAAGCAGAAAGTCACTAATGACTGTTCCACAGAAGCACATTTCAACTAAGGGCAAGGGCTACTGTTCAGGGACTGGTAAGATGACCTTCACATTTACTGTTTGGAGAAGAACTCTTTACTCTTCTCAACGTCAGGGATGATGGTGTCGCTGCCTGGCTTCCAGCCCGCAGGACACACTGTGAGAGGACAAAGTGTAGTGTTCACATATCAGTCATTGACACACAGCAGTAAAAATGCACAAAGTACAAATGTCAACACCCTGCAAGGTTACCAGACAACTCAATAGTGATATGCATTTTCACAATTATTAGGGACGTCCAAGACAAACGATAAAACCCTTTAAATCTATCAAGGTTAGATATCAATGCTGCAGACAGAGAACTTTTGCACCAAGTAATTTGAAATTGAAAATAATCAGCCACTCAGACCCTCTTAAACTTACCTTCACCATATTTGTCAGTGTGCTGGAAAGCCTGGACCAGGCGCAGGGTCTCGTCCACAGAGCGACCCACTGGCAAGTCGTTGATGGTGATCTGCCTCAAAATGCCTTTGTTGTCAATCACAAACAGACCTCTGACAAACACAAGACATGGTTTAACTTATTTTTCCTCCCAAAAGTAGAAAGTCATTGCTGAGTTGCATAGTCTCAACTCAGGACTGCACTTGAAGGCCAATGATATCGTAACGATGTCCCAATTAAACATACAATTAAATGCAGTACAGCCTTTACATTTTTTGGATTGCACGGGCTACTATCGTTGGTGCCCCCAGGCCCCAATATTGCCTTATGGTTTCCCCCCACCCTCACTGTCAACTCTTATAATTTTAGTTTTTATTACACAGCCATCCAGCACCATGACATAAGGCTGAGGTTGGGGACATGGGGAAAAAATGATGGCACATGTAGATCCTCCAAAGGGTGCAGCCCAATATTTTTGACACTATAACATGGCCTTCTTGTGTCCTATGGCCAAACACCTGTATGAAACGCCATCCTCCTCCTTCAATACACCGTAGTCTCTGGAAATGGTCTTTGTGAGGTCTGCCACCAAGGGGATTTTCATGTTACCCAGACCTCCCTGTTTCCGAGGTGTGTTGATCCTAGAGGGAGGGGAGCAACATCTACATCAAAACAGCACAAACTTGATGTGCTCTTTTTAAGACAAAACAGTTCTGTAAAGGCTGCAAACATAGTGAAAAGGTAACACTGGATCAGGATCACTACCAACTCAATGTTTCAAAAGTGCAATTGAGTCATAAACTCTAAATGCCATCACATCTTCCAGAACCTTCGATGTAGAAATTTGAGTTTGATAACAGACTTGTGGCATCACTGGGAACTTATCTGGTGCATGCAGAGAAGCCAAGGGATGGTAGATAACCTGACCCGGCAGGGTGGTGCTATTTCAAGCAAGTGTAACTCAACTCATCCTCCGTTTGAATCAAACAGAAACACTCTAAGAATTACCTGGACTGAAAAGACACGGGTAACCTAGAAAGTATTGAGTGAAAAATTTTGCTCCACACCCCAATACAGGATTGCAGACAAAACACAACCAAGGCAACTCCCAAGGGATCGCGCCAAAACTGTTAGACACATTTAAGTGTGTGTCATAGTGACACCAAGTTAGAGAGACAGACACATTTCCTGGAGGATTCCTCACCAGGCCAAGTGGCTGAAGTGAGAGTCGATGGAGCAGCCAAGCACCTCGCAACCAATTTTGCGGAACTCTTCCGCTCGGTCGCTGAATGCCACGATCTCGGTGGGGCAGACAAATGTGAAGTCGAGGGGGTAGAAGAAAAACACCACATACTTTCCTGAAGGGCACAGAGGGAAAATATAATGTGGGGGAAAAAAACATAACTATAAAATGTGAATATTACCTTTGTAGTCAGACAGCTGAATGTCCTTAAATTGTCCATCCACAACAGCTGTGGCTTTGAAGGCAGGGGCCGGCTTGCCGATGTTTGCGTTTCCAGAGGACATCGTGAAACCAAATGACTAGAAAAGACCCAGTGAGGATATGGCTAAGATGCAATTACACTTAAAAGTGCTTCTGGACTACCAGGGGCTTTTTTGAAGACTGTTTTTCAACCTTTGGAGGATCAATGCGCTGCTCTTACGCTCAGTGAGCTAAAGCATGGAGTCACATGCAAGTCATGTTCAACCAGCAGGGAACAAAAGCCTATTAGCAAACCTGAATAACATTAACGAGCCAAAAGGGGGGAGAGAAAGAAAGGGGGGGGGGGGAAACAAACACGCCGCGTTT